CTCCTTTGCAAATGAAAAGGTAAAAACCATAGCATATAACAGACTTGAGAATCTGCACTCACAACTGAGAGGAAAGATGGAAGATAGGAGAGCATTTGCTCTTTCGTAAGGAAATCTATGCTTTCATAATGTGTGAGCTTACAGCACTGCGCAGAATTTGAGATAAAATTCCAAATTCCTCATAGAATAGTTAGGGTTGGAAAGGACCTTAACATCATCTAGTTCTAACCCCCCTGCCATGGGCAGGGACACCTCGCTCTAAACCATATTACCCAAGGCCTCATCCAACCTGGCCTTGAACACTGACAGGGATGGAGCATTTCCAACATCCTTGAGCAACCTATTCCAGTGCCTCACCACCCTAATAGGAAAGAATTTCCTCCTTATATCCAATCTAAACTTCCCCTGTTTAAGTTTTAACCCATTACCCCTTGTCCTATCACTACAGTCCCTAATGAAGAGTCCATCCCCAGCATCCCTATATGCCCCCTTCAGATATTGGAAGGCTGCTATGAGGTCTCCACGCAGCCTTCTCTTCTCCAGACTGAACAGTCCCAACTTTCTCAGCCTGTCTTCATATGGGAGGTGCTCCAGTCCCCTGATCATTCTCATGGCGCCCTCTGGACTTGTTCCAACAGTTCCATGTCCTTTTCATGTTGAGGACACCAGAACTGCACACAATAGTCCAAGTGAGGTCTCACGAGAGCAGAATAAAGGGGCAGGATCACCTCCTTCAACCTGCTGGTCACACTCCTTTTGATGCAGCCCAGGATACGGTTGGCTTTCTGGGCTGCAAGCGCACACTGAAGCCGGCTCATGTTCATTTTCTCATCGACCAGCACCCCCAAGTCCTTCTCTGCAGGGCTGCTCTGAATCTCTTCTCTGCCCAGCCTGTAGCTGTGTCTGGGATTGCTCCGACCCAGGTGTAGGACCTTGCACTTGGCATGGTTAAACTTCATGAGGTTGGCATCAGCCCACCTCACAAGCGTGTCAAGGTCCCTCTGGATGGCATTCCTTCCCTCCAGCGTATCAACCGAACCACACAGCTTGGTGTCATCAGCAAACTTCCTGAGGGTGCACTCAATCCCACTGTCCATGTCACTGACGAAGATGTTAAACAAGACCGGTCCCAACACCGATCCCTGAGGGACACCACTCATTACAGGTCTCCAGCTGGACATTGAGCCACTGACCACAACTTCCCCTGTTTAAGTTTTAACCCATTATCCCTTGTCCTGTCACTACAGTCCCTAATGAAGAGTCCCTTCCCAGCATCCCTAAAGGCCCCCTTCAGATACTGGAAGGCTGCTATGAGGTCTCCATATAGCTTTCTCCCTTCCAGGCTGAACATATCTTTGCACAGCTCATAAACTAGAATGTCAAACCCCCAAAGTTCATCTTCTTGCAACTGAGTATAACAATATGAAACAAAACAGTGAATGCTATTACAGCAATTGAAAAGAAAAATGAAAAGACCCTATTCTACATATTGGCCAAGAGACTATGTGACACCTTTCTGGAGGTTAACTTTTGCCAGACAAGACCCTTATGAACAACTGAATAAATACATAAGTCTTAATTAGGAGAAAAAGCCTCTTTAAACAACAAAAAAATAATGTATAAAAGAATAATCTTTATCTAGATAAAGTTCCAGCAGTACCTCTGAATGGTGCCCTACACTTCCATTCTCAGATCCAGAATGCTGCTCATTTGCTTCCTCTTCCACATCAGATCCTGAATCTCGTTCGTCTTGCACTGGAGTAGCTCCACCATCATCTACTCCGAAGTTAAGAAAAGAAAAATAAACCTCAGTGACATCTTCCAGTGTTTAAAAGAGCACTCACAGTGATGATGAACAGACAGCACTACAGTGAGACTCTCGTTCTAACAGTCTCTCGTTCTGTAATACAGGGAAACGAATGCTATCTACTGGGAAGGTCTGGCACACACCTACCACAGAAACCCCCCTAAAAACACCACAAAACTACTCAGAATACGCACAACAGCAGGTACTGACCAAAACACCGAACTAATACCAAGGCTGTGCTGAGATCACAACAGCCGTGCCGGCCCCCCGATGTCACCCGACCCTTCCAAAGCCGACTGCACACTACCGTCGGGGCGGGGGCGACCGCCGAGCCGGGGTACCGGGCACGGCTCCACCGCCTCTAACGCCACATCACGGTGAGCGCAAACGGCCGCTGGAGCCGGCAGCGGACGCCGGGCAGACGGGGCAGGGCGATATCCCCGCGGTGCTCGCCGCGCACAGCACCCTCCCTTCCAGGGCCCAGCGCCCCGGGCGTCCCTCCCCCCGGGGACGCTCCCGCACCGCTACCTGACTGGTCCCCGCCGTAGTACTCGCTCTCCATGGCGAGCCGCCGGCACAGCCTCCCCGCCTCGGCCCCGCGGGCTGGCGGCGGGGCGAAGCCCCCAGCACACCACTCGCCGCTAGGGCCCGCCGCCGTCTTCAGCCGCCTTCCACCGCCCGCCGAGCCACAGGCCCAAGATGGCGTCTCTCCGCCGAACGGCCAGCTATCGCCGCTGCGCATGCGCGAGGAACGGCCATCCCCCTTCCCCGCGCGACCCTGGGACTGGGGGAGGATCTCGCGAGGCTTCAGCGGAGATGGGCCGCCAGGGAGCGCTGCGCGGCTGGAGGGGGGGCACGCACTCTTACCTGTTTTGGTATCGAGTGAGGTTACCTGCAGCAAACAGGGATGATGGTTTTTTCCAGCCCCTAACTACGTGTTTGCATTGTTTTTTAGGAAACAGGTTGTTTTTAGCTTGGTAATTGAAGTGCTGGGTGAATGGAAGGAGCCTTCGAGCAAAAACAAAAGGCTGCTTTGAGCCCCTGTGTCGACATGGGAGATGCGCAGTTGTACGGGAGTGAAAAAGGGTGTTATTTTAATAAGGGTGTTTCCCTGTGTGGGACATGTGGGAGCTTCCAAGAGACTAAAACCCCAGGAAATGTTATATCACTGCTTAAACCCACAGCCATGAACCACACAAGAGAAAACCTCCATCTCCCTTTGCCCAGTAAGGGGCACAATGCTTCCCATGCTGATAAAGGATGTGAGATCAAGAGTTCCATCTCCTGTCATGGACAGGAAAGATTTTACCCTTTAAGTAACAGGGGATTTTCTCTGCTCCCTGCAAATCACGTTAGAATTAATGTGAGTCTCTACAAGAAGGCAGCAGGGTAAAAAACAGCCTAGGCGCAGCTACATGTGTGGGCTCTGGACACCACAATGGGGTCAACAGATTTATGTTGCTGCTGGCCAAAGGGGGACCCCATGGCTAGCCATGGAAACTGAGGGCTGGTTGTCTCACTGCATTTAGACTGCCCTAGCTGAAGCTGTGGTTCAACCTTGTTCATGTGTGGGTGGTTCCTCCACATTTAACCTTCAGAATCAGCTGAAAGTTAGGGCTGAATTCCTGGGTAATTGCTGACTTCCAGAGAAAACACGGGTAGAAGAGCCTGTATCTTCCTCAGGAATTATTGTGTTCTGTTTTAGTAACCTCTATCCGCTGAGCAGTTTCATTATTGAATCATTTGGCACGCCTACGTTATGTCAGTAAAGGATTACTACAGATTACTTCTGTCATTGATGCGTTGTTTTGAAATGGAAAGCCTAATAAATGCATACGCTGCTGGTTTCCTGACTCTTCTTGTTCGATGCCAGATAAAACATCTTCATTTTCTCAGAGGTAGAGGTTAACACTTGACAAGTAGAAAACTGTTGATGCAGTGTCATTTGGGGCATTTGTAAACAGCAGTGATTTTTTAGAACCCTACGTGCTCCTCTTCTGTTCAGGGACATCAACATTTGATAAGTTGAGAACCCTAGGCAAAGTGAGTCATTCTTTCTTCTGTGCTAGAGGCACTTTAGAATGGATGGCAGAGAGGGTAAGCCATTATTAACACACTCCAGGAGCAAGCACAGTTATAATGCAGAGAGTTCAGTGTACCATGTTAAATACAGCTGAACTCTCTGAACTGAGTCATTACTCAACATCTTCTACAGCGTTCCACTTGGAGGAATTGGCAGTGGATCCAATTCTTGGATATAATCCTATGTTAGCAAAAATGCAGAACACACACACACATCCTGAAAGCAGCATACATAAAACATATAATGTCTCTGTTTACAGCTCTATAGGACTTTTCCAGGTAGCCCCAAAGGTCGCTTAGTGATCCTCAGGATGGCACTCTTAATGGTATCATGCCCTTTCTTCCTACTTCTGTATGACTTTTATTGCTTTTAGCTCTTCACACTGCATGGTTTCACTTAGATCTTTTCTGGGAGGAGCAGGCACATGTGTCAGTATGTGATGGGAGGCTCCCATTCTTTCACTTACCTGACTTCATAAAGAAATGTAATGGCTTTGTACAGCTGACTAAATAGAAGGCAGTATGACAACTTTAGTGTCACCCGTTACAGCACAACAAATAAAGTTCTCTGCAGAAAAAGCACTGAGGTAGGAAATAACAAGTGGGGGTAAGAGAAAATAATGGACAAGGGGAAGCATAGCTAGGAACAACAAAAAATATATTGAAAAGTGTGTACCAAGGTATCTGGAAGTTGTACCAAGGTCCCCAGAAAACACAGAAACCTATCACATAATAAAGTTCTGAGCGGGATCAAAGTATGATGGTAACCTTCCTTGGAAATCAGTCATATACAAGGAATTGTCATGTTGTGCATGGGTGGCAAGATACTGTCCACAATTCCAGCTGCACCGAGGTTGCATTGAGGAGAGAACAGAGAATTGCTGAATCTGCTGGGAGAGGAAGGAGGCACAAAGAGGTTCCTAAGTTATGAATTCCCATCTTTCTAAAAATAGACTTCCTAACCCTGAGCCTAGTCCTGTGACATCTCACATGCACCAGAGGGTGAGGTGCACCTCAGTCTTAAGCAACCTCACCTCAGCAGTGCTAAATAATTGGACATTGATCTGACAGTTATTCTGCAGGTAACCTGTGTGTGCACACTAGTGTGCATGCTTGTGTGCACATGTCTTTGTCCCTCATGAGCCAGAACTTGGCACATACTGGCCTGTAATATACTCTTGTAATACCCTCTTGGCTGCATCCCAAGAGGAAGGATGGATTGACACTCAGACCATAATGGGATTGCGCAGTAGGGGAGAATGACCTGCCTTCTACCAAGCAGGGTAAGCAGTGCCCTCTTGGCGTGTGTGAAGGTGTGTACTGACACACAATCCCAGAGCCCCATCAGTCTGCCTCTCTGTACAAAATCATCGTGAACTGGCTGGGATGAAATAAGCCTTTTCCTGAAGGACAGAATGCACCAGACAACCAAGGGATGTGCTTGGAAATCTTTTACTGGTATGTACCTCTTATTTAGTTTGATTTGTTCCCTGCAGTGTGCCTTTCAGAGTGAAGAGACATCAGTGACTTAAAGCTACAAATCTGCTTAGAAGGGGGGAAGGAGTTTAGTGGAGACAGGAGGGCTTCTGAACGAGCAGTGTAAATTGCAAATTGTTCTCTCCAATCAGACACCTTCCTTCAGAAACCTCAGACAAAAAAAACACCTAGTTTAACATAAAACCATGCTTGGCATCTGGGACTTGGTGATGCAGAACTGACAAGGCCACTTTTATTTAGCTGGAGAAGAAATGTGAGAGGTAGTGCCATGTGCAAATTAAACCCTTTGATCCTGACATCAATCTCTTAATTAGGAAGCTGTCAGGAAGAGACAGTTTTGTTAACACATGTCTATCCGGACAGACCCATTGCTCTGAACAACAGCAGGATTAAAGTCACCAGGGATTAGCAAATTTTCATTAGCTGCCTTTCTCAGTGCATTATTCATCAGCACAGACCACAGGACAAATTACCCCTAATTACAGCTATAAGTGTGTCTGTGCCCTGCACAGTCCCTCACCAAACCTTGTCTTCAGTGGTAAACTGCTTTGCTGCCTCCTTCAAGCTCTTGTTGTTCCCTGTTCACACAGCTCAGTGACTTCCCAAACTTGAGCTACCCCTGTTCCTTGACAGGTACTTTCTAAAGAAGCCTTTAGCAAGCCACCTGCTCATGTCTCATTAGGTACATGTGCTTTACAAAGCATCTATGCTGCTCCTGCTTGGAATATCAAGTCTCTACTCCTTCAGCTTATGTTTTCTGGCTCTTGAGTATGTCTAGACTTAACTGTGGGAATCTGTCTCCCTTCAAATACGTTACTTCAGCCATACAATAAGTTGTGCTTTTCTTTCAGACTACTTTGAGTTCCATGTTTCCATTTCATATAATTCATATATGTACTAGGACAGGAATACTGTACTTCTCTCTGAAATAGAACCCCCACCACACCTTGGTCATAAGTTTTAAAATGTCTGTATTTTCACAATGAGATTTTCTGCCCCAAAACACGCTCCATTTGGAACTTCAGCAAGTCTGTTTCACCTGCTGAAGAAACATGCATAGCCCTTTTTTCCCTGCAGTCTCATTACACAAAAAGCTCTGGGTTTAGATATCTGCCTTGATAACATAAAAGTATGCACTTTGATTTATTTGCCAACATTTGACCTTCATCTAACAAAATCAGTACTTGAATTTTGTTAATCCCACACAACATATAGACTTCTAAAACCTCTTGTATCAGAAACAAGTTTGCTAAAGAATTACTTTGAGGCAAAATCCTTGAGTAAGAATGATTTGCACAGATAGAAACATTCAGAAAGCTCTCTTCTCTGACTTGTGATTTTTTGCCTCCCTCTGAAAGTCTCCAAGCCCTGAAAGGCCTATGCTCTATTTCTGCATCTGTATCTTCATTTGTGCTGTAAAACTGAACAAAACCCTCAGGTAAGGAGGCTACTATTAAAACACATCTATGTAATGTGGATAAACACACATTACCCCCAGCTATTAGTTGCCATGACTTATCTCTGATTCAGATATGGAACTGCAGCAGGAGGCCCAAGAATCTGTCTCCTGCATGGAGGCTTTTTGTTGCCTTTCCCATCATACAGCTACAGCAGCTACATTGAACCTAGTAAACGAGAAAACAAGAGTTAAGGTACGAAGCAGAGTAGCAACGTGTTCACAAGTGTGGCACATTTTCATTTGCATGTTGACTAAAGGGTAGCGCACAGAGCAGTGCACAGTGAGGCAAAGCACCTCTTGTGTGCAGTGCCCTGGAGGAAAGTTATACTGTGACTTAAAATAGATGGAAAAAATCCACTCACTGTAGTTTGGGCTCACTGCTAGGAGTGCCTGACTCCTGGGTACTTGCTCTGGCCAGAGAAACCCTGTATCTGCCTCTACAGATAGACTACACTTCTGTTTCTTTCCCATACATCACATCCAGTGCTGGAATTTAGTGGGATATGTGAGGACACAGGATTACTGAGAGTACATGTGGAGCAACCTGAAAGAGGGAAGCTTTTTGTCATCCCATCCTAAGTTGGAAAGAGAAGTGGGCAGATAGGGTGCTAACATGCACCTAGATGCTGGAACAGAGGAACTGAGTGTTTGTTGGGAGATACATTAATGACAACAAATCCAGGAAGTTTATATGTGCTTGTATGTGTCAATTTAAGTGTCATGAGTTCATTTTGTTTGAGCACTACGTATTGTGAAACACAGACTACCCTGTACATAGACTGATGGGCATTTTCTTGCAGAAAGAGCTGTGTAGAACCAAGGGGAGAGATGAGAGATGAGGGCCTGATTTTCCTCTTATCTAACAGGGTGGCTCCGAGAGAACCTCAGGGAAGTCAGTGGTGTTGGAGCAGTGTAAACCAGATGCTAAAGGGTTTTCTTCTGGAAGTGCTTTCCAGAAGCCTGAAAGAATTCAGGCACAGTGGAGAGACTGAAGTTTAAGGTTCACTCAGGCAAGAATAGGCCTTGCTACTTACTGGAATGCCTGACTTGGAAATGACATATGCTGAACTGGGAGCAAAGTCCTGTAATAAATAACCGTGGTTCAGTCATTTCCTCCTTTGTGTGGCAGAGAACTGGTAGTTGGCGAGGGATCCCTTAATGGCAGTGGTACCGCTTTCACCTTCTTTTTCCTTCTTACTCTGGTGCTTATGAAAAAGAGGGAACTAAGCTGCAGAAAGCAGACAGTGAAGATTTCTTCTGGAGAGGTAATTTCCTATCCTGTGGGGTGCAATTTAGTTTACAGGGCTGCATTGCTTTGGAAAGAAAAGCAGCAGAGAGAGCCAGGCGTTGTCCAAACGCTGCCATTCAAGCAGGTGGGGGGGTGGCCACTTACGGCCGAACAGAGAATAAGCATTTTAAATGTTGAAACTGTGTATCCCAGGATTGTGTGGGATCTCCTCCATACATGTCCATTCTTGGTTACTGTCAGAGACTGGATCTGGAGCTAGCTATGCCTTTGATGCCACGCAGTACGGCTGTGCTTCGTGTCTGCATGTACCACTCCATCTTTGTTCTGGGTGACATTTCTGCTCTGTTCCTGTATTTTGGTTTCTGGCACAGGTGGAAAAGTATCTATCAACTGTGAGTTACTGTGGCTCACCACTGCTATGTTTGGCCTATTTTTGCTAAGTACCATGCTTCTGTACCACCCTACATCACTCACGGTAACAGGGCATTGCATTGTTGAAGTTAATATGCAGATCCGGTTCCTGAGTCCTGAATAAGAACATGAGGCTGTCACTGTAAGGATAACTGCTTCAAAGACAAAAATTCCTTCTTGACACAGTGTTAAAAAGAGAAAACAAGAGAAAAAAACCCAAGCAGGCAGAAGGAACGCATCTATGTTGCATTGGTAAACGTTGGTAATGTGCTTGAGAATTGTCTTAGTTACAGATGAGCTCTGGATGTTGACTTAGTCTCACAACAAAAATCAATTCTTAATGTAGTCAGCAGCTGTTGTGCTGGAGTCACAGCCCTTGCAGTTTCTCCAAGTGCCAGCTTTGGTTATTAATGGTAACATTTCTTTTCTTGCAATTGGGTCACCTATGTGAAAATTACATTTGAAATTCCTGCTTTAGAGTGTGTGTTAGCACTGGACTTCTACACCAGTAGTCTGTCATCTCCAGAAGCGTCTATGTATTTTTCACTTTGGGATCACAATGCATTTTACCATTTTGATCATTTGTCATTTTCAGCATTCTCTCATGATAACTTTAAATTGGTAAGTCATTCTGGGCTTGTTTAGAAACCCGGTTCAATCCATGCTACTGTATAGCCCTTTATAGCCACAAAAAGGGCACAAAGATCATGTACCTTGTTGAGCACTTCCTACTTTCAATTTTGCTACCGTAATAGCGCTCCTTCTGGTTAAGACACTGGGATAACCCACAAGAAGTGGCAGGATCTTGCATACAGGAGTATATTTGCTCCTTCTATTCAGTCTGAAGAAAAGTTTGGTTATGTGCCAGTCAATTTTAAATAAAACCATGGTTTATGGAAGCATTTCATACCTTTGTAAATAACATAGGTAAAAATGTGGGCATCTATAGGAAAGCAAGTGATAAAACAAGCCCTAATTCTCTCACTGTGATGTTTTCTTTTAACATTGAAAGTTTTTAAAAACAAGAGGGAAAACCCAATACTAACCCTGAACTGCATCTTCATTTTTAATGGTAGTCTTCATTTTTCAAGAGCATGGGTTTCCAGAAAAGAAAGTGGCAACTTGAAACACTTCTGATGTGTTGGGGGAGGGGGGCATCATTCCATCCCAACACTCCCAGTCAGTTGCCAGCACCTATAATAAATGCTCGGACCAATGCAGAGATATTTCAGCTGCTCCAGCCAATGAGCTGGCTTCATTTGGAGCTCGGCTCAGATGCCTCTATACAAATGCCCGTAGCATGGGGAACAAACAAGAAGAATTAGAGATGTGTGCTCATCTACGGGGGTATGATATAATAGGCATCACAGAAACATGGTGGGATGGCTCCTATGACTGGTGTGTTGGAATGGAAGGTTACAGACTCTTTAGAAAAGGCAGGCCTGGCAGGCGCGGAGGGGGAGTTGCCCTTTATGTTAGGGATAGGCTGGAGAGTATGGAACTCTGTCTGGGGACAGGTGAGACAGAGAGCTTCTGGGTCAGGGTTAAAGGGAAAACAGCGATGGGAGACATTATTGTGGGGATCTGTTATAGACTGCTTGATCAAGAGGAATCTGCGGATGAAGCACTCTATAGGCAGATAGGAAAAGCCTCACGCTCACAGGCCCTCGTTCTCATGGGTGACTTCAACCACCCTGACATCTCTTGGAATGACAGTACAGCCCGGCACAAGCAATCCAGGAGGTTCCTCGATTGTGTGGAAGACAACTTCCTTCTGCAAGTAATAGAGGAGCTGACAAGGAGAGGTGCCATGCTTGACCTCGTGCTCACCAACAGGGAAGGGCTCGTTGGAAACATGGCGCTCCAGGGCAGCCTTGGATGCAGCAACCACAAGATGGTCGAATTTGAGATCCTTAGGACAGTGAGAAGAGCGTGCACAAGCTCACTGCCCCGGACTTCAAGAGAGCAGACGTGGTCCTCTTCAGGAACCTGCTTAGTAAGGTTCCATGGGATATAGCCCTAGAGGGCAGGGCGGCTCAAGACTCTTGGTTGGTCTTCAGGGATCACCTGCTACAAGCTCAGGAGTGTTGCATCCCAACCAGAAGGAAGTGAAGCAGGAGGGCCAGGAGACCTCCTTGGATTGATAAGGAGCTGCTGAGGAAAATTCAAATGAAAAAAGAGTCTTACAGAAAGTGGAAGCAATATAAGGCAGCCTGGGAAGAGTACAGGGATGTTGTCCGGGAAGCTAGGGACGAGGTTAGGAAAGCTAAGGCCCAGTTAGAATTAAACTTGGCTAGGGATATTAAGGATAACAGGAAGGGATTCTACAGGTACATAGCAAATAAAAAACAGATTAGGGAGAATGTAGGCCCCCTCAGGAAGCTCTCGGGTGAACTAGCTACACAGGATTTGGAGAAGGCTGAGGTTATGAATGACTTCTTTGCCTTGGTCTTCACTGGCAAAGGCTCTGACCGCACCACCCATGTCTTGGAAGGCAGACGCAGGGACTGTGAGAATGAAGACCTTGGGCCCACTTTAGAACTTGCAAAGTTCTAAACCTCAGAAACTTGTATAACTCCACCATAAAATGAAATCATCAAATTATTTATATTATTCAATCTGAAAAGTAATGAAATCTGGGTATCTCTCAAAATGTATGCCATCCATATTACATAGAATTGTAAACAGCTATCAAACATTTCAAACGTAAGATTTTAAAGCTTGGCACATGATAGAAGAAGTTGTAAGGATATCATTGAAATTACTGGTGATTATTATTGGGAACTACCCAGTATGAAAATGTGTGCAGTGATCTCTTTATGGTTGAAAGCATCTCCAGAGTTACATGGCAGAACTCAAGAGCAGGCCACCACACTAGTGCTGCAGGTTCTTTGCTTTGTGGAGATGATTTCATTGTTTCTGCACTGGGTGGAGCTTATGATGATCTCTTCTGCTTTAACAAAACCTATAAACATAATTTTTTTAAGGCATTTTGCTATTATTATTTACAAGGAGACATCTCAGACATCTCAAGGAAACCCCAACTGTGTGTTCTAATCCAAACCTGAGCCCTTTTCTGGCATAATGTTATGTTCTTCTTGGCACTGCAGGTTACATACAGTGAGCTGAAACATAATGGTGGTTTTCAGAAAGGTAAGTCCTATTCTTTGCTGTGATTTACTAATTAGCGTGAGGCCCACAGAGGAGAAAATCACAATTCAACTCAAATGTAAAATAACCCAGTATCAAAGATGTATCAAATAATATCAATCAAGACTAGAGTTGAAGAGGTGCCTTGGCTTGCTTGGCTGGTGACCTCTGTCACAAGGTGTGGCACTGAAAGTGCACACACCTTGGAGTTTTATTCAGTGCAACTGAGAGCTGTTAGTCTGTACTATTCTTTACGGCATAACATTTCTTCTTCTTGTGCAGTGTTTATAGATGCTTTACACTACAGTTGTTTGGTTTTAAATGTAAACCCATGAAGTATTTTGAGAGGAAAAAGA